GCGACGTACATAATCATGGAAAATCCATTTGGTCACTTATTTGCCGAGCTCTTTCATAAAGGTGGTTGGGGACACTGTCTTTTTCATTAGGTAGCCACGTTTCCCCAAAGCAAATGTGACCTCATTTTCGATGTCACTCCCAAACTATCCACGGTAACGCCGTCACCCATTAGGCAGCGCTCACTTTGACCCAAGAAACATTTTGTGAACGGCGAGCTGCAAAGGAAAGCGCTTTCAGGCTTTCTATTGGTTTCTCGCTACCCATTGTGTTTTCGAGTGCGGAAACACACATGTTGGTATTGGCGCGATAGGTGCAGACGCATACTTCTTGTTGAGGGGCGTGCAGTACCCATTTTGTGCGCAAAGTGTAGAACTTTGACAAACCAATTGAACTGCGAGGTTCTGAACGTGTCATAAATCTCTTCGAGACATACTCTCTCTTGCTCTGCCGCGAGCATCCCAGTTCATCTCTTGTGAAGTAATCCAGTGCAACCTGCACATGTGACCAGCTCAATCTTGACCTCAAGTAGAGATCCGAAACTGACTACACCCCGTTCTTCTCGCGACAATTTAGAGACTTCCCTACCATGTATTTTGTGACAGCTGGAACTGCCTCCTGAAGTCGTTTCTTAGGTAGTTCAGGTGGAAGGAAGGTTAAGAGACGAAGACGCTCTTGGTAGGATGTTGAAGCCTCATGAGCTTGTTTAAAATTCCTTAGCCAACCAGTGCATACGCCAAATTCCTCCTCTGTCTGTCCAGGGGTACTGGTGCTTCCATAGGCGATACTTAAACTTGAGCGTATTTTTGACAACACTTCCTTTTCAATCCCCGCCTGTTTTCTCTCTCCACAAGATTTCTTGAACCGTTTCCGAATGGAAGATGTTGGCTTCAACGGAGAAACTTTGGAAAGTTTGACGTACCTGGTGAGGTCACTCACTGCTTCTTCTTCCTGAAGAAATGTCTTGTCGGTTTCTTCAAGTGTGCTTGCAGATGAGGACATTATCTCTCCTTCGTGAAGATATGTCTCGTTCGTTTCTTCAGGTGTGCCGGCAGATGAAGATAGGAGCGCCTTAAGGTATAAAAACCAGACAAATTAAAAATGTTGAGTGGACCTGCTGGTTCGATATCTCGTAGAATCACACTGAAGCGTTGTGCTTTTCGACTCACCGCAGAAAGAAATCAATACATTCAGGAAGCACTAAAAAGGAGAATGGGCCTCAGTAAGTGCTCGCAAAGGATTACGCTCCTCAAATATGTGGTGCACACTTCGCGAGTAAGGCCCGGGCGGAACCTAAGGTGACATTAGCACGAGGTGTACAGTCTTCGGAAATATAAAAGAGACATCCGCCGATGCTGTTTATGCCGCTGTACAAAGTCTACCGTGACAGGGCGCGCTTCATTTTGAAGGAGAAAATAGTCAAATATTTATTTCTTCCCCAACCAAAGCAATGTGTGCATGGCCAAAGCGAATCTACCGTAGCCACCTAAAATAAAATCGTTAGGTGCATGTTGGAATCGTCGCTCCTTGGCGTTCAGAGATATCGATCAGTCTTTGAACAAAAGCCAACACTTTTATTTTAACTCCACACACTCGCTCAAAAAGAAGGACCACCGTCTCCGGTTTAACGCTCGCTTCCTTTGGTTCCGGCTTTCGTACTGTCCGTCTCGACTTTCCACCCGCTTGATCTTCTCGGCAGTATCCAAGGCTGCATCCGACCGCTGCTGCACCGAAATTTCAGCTCGCCCCCGTGCTCCCTCGTCTTCGCAGTAGCAGGCCGATGCCGTTGTCGAAAAGTTCAAACATTGCATATTGTGTTGCCCATGAACTGGACTATTTAAAGCACAGAAACATATTGTTTTACAAGTGCATCCTAAATATATCAGCCTTAATTACCACAAGTCACTATTTAACGTCAATTGGTGTTTGTGTTCTGTAAAACATTGTCTCCGCTTCATGTAAACGCAGTCTGTATTCCCTCTTTTTTTCTGTAAACTTCTTTTCCTTCCTTAAAGAGGGGCATGTGATATTACATACTTTTAATATGCACACTGAAAATAAAGAACAGGCACTTACATGGTTATTTGATCGCACGCGACAAGACACATCATGGATTTGCGGCCTGTGCCGGGTGCTTCCCGGCTGTAACGAAGCTAGCTTATAGCGCGAGGGGCCTGGCGCGCTGTACGTGCCTTACAAGCTGTGTACATCACAAACAGATATATGACCCCGGTCTGGCTATATGAAGAGCTCGTTCCGTTTCCTCCGCCCTTTGTGCCCTGGCCGTATAAAGGAACAACCGCTGCACCGCTAACGATCGGACTAAGGAATGTCAGACGCCATCATTACAAAGTTAAGGAAATTCAATATGTAGCCAAGCCCAAGTGTTCTCAATCACAATAAATTTTCCCGCTGCATTTTAACACAAAAATAAGCCCTATATTCTTTGCAACGAAGCCGACCTGCGGAAACTGCGTTTTGCAGTTCCGAGAACATGGGAGCGATTTCGATCATTTCTAGGGAAAATACAACAAAAAAGTGGAAAATCACAAAAATGCAATGGGAATTTCATGTGATCGGAAGCAATAATAAAAAACTGGATGAAATAAAAAAAAATGATGTTTTTCAATAAAGTGGGTTCAAAATATCGGTTAATCTCCTTTTCGACGATGTTTAAAATTTTTGCATAAAACATTCCGTGAAAATAAAATAAACACGCCTATGCCCATCGATAGCCCATGTATAGGAAGGAATACACCCGCATAAGTATTTGGTAAGTGACAATTATAATAACTCGTGAGTTACAACTTACAAGGCTGTGAAGATGCCACCGGATTGTCAAAGAGACGATGTTTGGCCTTTTTTACCTCACTAAACAAAAATGCAAAAGTATTTTTTAAACGACAAAATCGTCGAAATAACATACAAGCACACAAATAATTACTGTGAGTCTTGTATAATGTCCGTATTCATACCAGAGTACAAAACTGAAAGGCAAAATCACGGAGTAAAAAACAGATTATCAGCCTGCTCCACTTAATAATTTTGTTTGAAGCGAAATATATTTTTAAAATAATTTGAAAAACGGTTTTGTTCTTTACAGAAATAGGGCAGTTACATCGATCTTTTTTAAAACAAATCAAAAGACCTACCCCAACAAGCGTGTTCGATTTCAAATGAAACCACCCAGCAAAAATTACAACTGATTATTCAGCATGTGAAAGATGAACTGGGAAGCAACACCAGCGAAGTAAAAAAAGAATTAAAAACAAAGACGGTTGATGGTGGTGATGATGATGATTATTAAGAGCTACATGGCGCAAAATGCAAATGGCCAAATCGTGCCAAACCGGATGAAAAGAAGAAGTAAAATCAGCCACGAACCTCTCCGTAAAATGGTGTTAAAGAAAGAGTATAACAGCTTAACAGCTCTAGATGAAACTGGGGTCTTAAGGCACTAAAACGGTTGTCACTCAGAGTCTCAGATACCAATCATAGTATATTTATTTCCCCGCTAACCCTGTAGACATCGTAGTAAGCAACAAATACTAATGATGCTTTTAATTAGAAATAAATATGCTCAAGCAACGCCTCTATGCACGTTGTACTACCCAACAGCGCTCCTGAAGCTCGTGAAAAACGAAGCATCTCCGCAAGGCACGGAATGGGGCACGGTTGCGCCACCTAGCTGCAGCTAAACAAAGACATAGTAAAAGCAATGCAGAACGCATAAACGTTTGGTCAACTCTTTCAAATCTATTCTGCTTCAGTGGTGCCTCGAAGCAACGGTGGCTACCGACGTGAGATGCGATACCCAGGTTGAAATGAGCGGACTTCTAAGCAAAATAGTTGAGGTGATAATAAGATACGTGAATTGCAGTGACACCAATGCCGCGCTGTTTGCAGCATCTTCCACACTCACCCATGTATTAGCAACAACACAGGGGCTTGAGCAGCTTCTGGAGGTCAGAATCAGCCTAAATGGCTGAGCCAACTCTGTTAATGTGCCCACCAAACAGAAGAAACTGGATCCGAAGAAAAGGGTGAATTGAAACAGAGATGACGCAAACGAAGCTGACTATTCTGCTATTCTTAATGACCGTGGCGTTAATCTTGTCAGACACAAATACAGAACGAAAGCCCCACTCCATAGCTGCAACAAGCCCCTTGAAAGCTGGTTAGATGCAAATAAAACCTACTGAGCATGAAAGGCTTTCCTGCGCATTTTGAGCTATCAGAGAAACCAGCGTCTCTACTGGAATTAGTGCGCAGTGATACCCGCCATTTACAGAACGATTGCCCTTTTCAATACATCTATCGCCTGCCTTTCAAAAATATGCGTGCCTGTCGTCGCTGCCGCCTGCAAAGCAGACGGCGGTGACGGACACTACAGCCACTTTTGCTTACCCCGTACCACCGTAAAGAAGCCACGTGGTCCTTTGGCCAGTTCCTTTCGTGTATTGCATTTCTGATTGACAAGCCTAGTGAAACTTATATAGGATGCATCGTCTAAATAATTAGAACCTTTCTCATTAGTCCCTTCTCAAAAACGTATACACTGCAGCGGCGTTGAATCTCTGGGGGCACCGTACAGCCAATTCAATTAAGAAACCTAGTTTAAATACTAGAAGAGGACCCTCAAGGTTGCAGAAAGGCGCATCGCGCGTGGCAAAATCCGGGTAGCGAAATAACAGCGCAAAGCACACTTAGCAAAACTCTTTCGTTACAAGAGGCGTCGGGTCAAGTATTGAGTGTACGCGGTATTTTTCAAGCCAGTTATTCCTAGTATGCAGATCCGCGTCAAAGGGTGTACGTGATTGAGATACCTTAATACCTTTCCTCACGGGTACAATCAGTTTATACGAAATACAAGTTGCATGTTTTCTTTCTTTCGGGCATTTTTTTTTCTTTTTTTTTTTTTCTTTTTGCGTTTTCTCTTTGGATGTAGATCACGTTCTCGTTCAATCCTGTGGTGTATAAAAGCTCCAGATTTTCAATCCAAGTTCGCAGTTGAAATCCTCTTCTGTAAACCTACACCATGACCGGAGTGAGTGCACCATTTTGAAAATACTTGACCTTAAACTCGTTTATCTACTTTAAAACTATTTTAATAGGTTAGGTTTTTCCGCATATGATTATACTGTCTATCGCAAATAAGAACCAGTCGGCACTTGAAAACGTGTTTAATTTGATTGCTTCACGTAACTAGGCTCCATCAACTTTTACTGCAGATATAGAATGTTTATTTTATTTTTTTTTTTTCAAATTGCGGTCGTTTGGTTAGGCATTTGTTGGCCTGGGTTTAAAAAGGTTTTTTTATATTTCTCTTACGACGGTTGAGCTCTCAGTTGATGGCGGTCTCTTTCACTACGGCTTTTTGTGTGGAGCGCATTGAGTTGTCAATCCAATAACTTAAAATTTAGCTGAGAGAATATATTTCTTCTCTATTTAAACGATCTTGAAGCAAACGCAATCAAAAATTTACATCATTGAGGTCCTAATGGCAACCTGTTTCATTTAAGCCTGATTTTTTATGAAATATCTAACTGAATATTTTTATTAAGACAAAAATTCCCGTAACATATGTCGCAGACATATTTGCTGTAGAATAGCACTCTGTCGCGCCTGCCTATAAAATAAGTTGATAAAACTTTTTACTATCACAACATAGGTCCAACTTGCAAACGCAGTCTGATGGAGATGACCACTTGCTCGCAAGCACTAGTGGCATACATTTTACACGTTTTAAACTGATACATTAATCGGTTAAAAGATACGGCTCGATGCAAAGTGGGACACTTTGTTATTTTATGAGTCTGAGAAAGTTCAGTGCAAGCTTGACCAAACACCCCGATAAAGCGTTTTATAGAAGAGAAATATATACTAATTTGACCACAAACCAGATTTGAAATTTCAAGCTACATTCTATTTCTGGATCTACGTTAATTACTGTCATTTTGATTGAATCCTAACTGGAAAATTTGCATCGACCGAATTTTAAACGAAACAAAACTGTTTACTTAGCTGGCACCATGTTGCATCATCAGTATAAAGTAGAAAATATCCAGTTAAATAAAATGTGCACTAATGTTTATTTGTGCAGTTCCGTGCTTGTCTTCTCCTGGCCCTGGCCAGCAGAGCCATCGCTGGCTACGTCCAGGGCGGTCTTGGCTACGGCCACGGCCTCGGCTACTCTGGCCTCGGCTACTCTGGCCTTGGCTACTCTGGCCTTGGCTACTCCGGCCTTGGCTACTCCGGCCTTGGCTACGGCCATGGACTTGGCTACGGCCACGTTGTTGGTCTTGGGAACGGCTACGGCTACTCTGGTCTGACCGGCTACAGTGTTGCAGCCCCAGCTAGCTACGCTGTTGCTGCCCCAGCCGTGAGCCGCACTGTGGCCACTTCCTACCACGCCGCTCCAGCCGTTGCCACCTACGCCGCCGCTCCAGCTGTCGCCTCCTACCACGCCGCTCCAGTTGCAACCTATGCGGCTGCTCCAGCTGTTACCAAGGTCGCTACCTACCAGACTGCTCCAGCTTTCGCCAGCTATGCTGCTGCACCAGTTGCCGCCCACGCTGCTGCTCCAGCCGTGACTAGGGTGTCCACCGTCCACGCTGCTCCAGCTGTCGCCACTTATGCCGCTGCTCCAGTTGCCACCTATGCCGCTGCTCCAGCTGTAACGAAGGTCGCTACCTACCAGGCTGCTCCAGCTTTCGCCAGCTATGCTGCTGCCCCAATTGCCACCTACGCTGCTGCTCCAGCCGTGACTAGGGTGTCCACCGTCCACGCTGCTCCAGCTGTCGCCACTTATGCCACTGCTCCAGTTGCCACCTATGCCGCTGCTCCAGCTGTCACCAAGGTCGCTACCTACCAGACTGCTCCAGCTTTCGCCAGCTATGCTGCTGCCCCAGTTGCCACCTACGCTGCTGCTCCAGCCGTGACTAGGGTGTCCACCGTCCACGCTGCTCCAGCTGTCGCCAGCTACCAGACCTACCACGCCGCTCCAGCTCTGGCTTCCTACGCCCACGCTGCCCCAGTCTACGGATATGGCGTTGGTTCCCTCGGCTACGGCGCCGGCCACTTCGGTTACGGACACGGGCTCGGCAGCTATGGTCTGAACTACGGGTACGGTCTTGGCACCTATGGTGACTACACCACCCTCCTCCGCAAGAAGAAGTGTAAGTTTATGCACATATGTTTTCATAACCTGATTTATTTTATTGAGCATAGATTCCTGATGTTTGAATGTATTACCCCCTCTTTTACAGAAACTCCGCAAAGAGCTACCATCCTAGACGTGATCCACCAGGAATCTATGAAGAAGTGGACTGTTCACTGCCAACTTTTGCTGTCGTAAAGAGAGAAATAAAAAAAAAATGAAACTTCTCCCTTTCTCATTTTTCTTTCGAGTGTCGTATTGCCCCATTTTAGAATAACACCTTAATGACACGACCTGGGATAAAAACGCAGGGATTTCTAAATCCCTAACCTGCACTGAATGAGAATGCGCTACTCATGCTAGATCGTATGAAACCGGAGCAACCAAATGCGGCAGGCAACCATTTCCTCGTTGAATTTGCAGTTTAGGCGTCGATTGCGTTCAAGCAAATAGCAGATAATACCTCAATAATTTCCAAAATACCGTTCCGAAACCACTACTACGATTGTGAGGTATTGGGTTCGAGTCTGCTGTTGGGTACAGTAGACAACGCTGGTTACAAAACTTGCTTTTATTTCATTACAATGTCGGCCATAGCAGAATCGTTCAAAATCGAACACGGAGACATGGGCGTGATTGGTAGAAACAGTGATATTCATTCCTCACTGATTTGACTAACCTGGACCCCGAAATAGTGCGGAAAACCTTCTCTTCCAAGTTTGTTTGGTTTGGTAGCTTGTGTTGTCACAGATGGAAAAGGTTCGACGAGCGTAAACTAAGAATAAAGGTTTAATCGGTAAACTTGTGCCAGAAACAAAAGCAAGAACAAACGTTGAGAAAGCAGCAGCGAGCGTCGACGGCGGGACAGCTGCCTGGCGCAAGAGTGAATTAATCGGCAAAACGACGCCTGACCCCTTATCTTTTAAACTCGGTATCTTGAAGATTCGACCTACAATGTTCGGGAGTGCGCAAGGGCGAGACTGACTAGGCAAGGTCTTTCCGGTCTCCCTAGCTTTTACACTCGGAGTAAGAATAAACACGAAACATCTAGATGCACGGAAAAGCGCTTCTGCTCGGTCAAGCACGCGGCAGTATATTGTGTACAAACACTTAGTGCATCTGCGAATGCGAATACCGTAATTGATGAAGCCGGCAGTTCTCGCCAATTATGATATTTGCTCTTTTTTGGTACAGGTTGATGAAGCGGCATAATATTTTAGGTCGACTTTAGAATATAATTACACTGCGCGTAAGTCGTTTTTTTTTAATTTAAATCAATGCACTTAAGGTCATCCAATCTATTGGTGTTCGTCTTGTCGTGAGGAAATACGATTACATCCGGCATCGTATGATTAACCTATAAACATCATCACACTTAACCTATTACACTCAAACTTATATTTCATTCGCACCTAAATTACTGTCATTTAATGTGAAGAAATTCCACTTTTTTAGGAATTTTCAAGAATCCACCCATTACAGTAGGAAATGCTAAGAAATGTAGAAAGCGTTTCATATAACCACCCTTGAGCTCCTCCTTTTCAAAGATTTTGTATACTGCACATTTATGACATGCATGGGCCTACCAACCCGGGGGGGGGGGAAGGGGGGGGGGGGGGGCAAGACACGTGTTTTGCCCTGCTTTGAAACAGCCAATACCACTGGGCACGATAAACACTGGCCGGCGGCTCCCACGGGATACCAAGGGCACCGCCCCCCGGTCCTGGGGGGGGGGGGGCGATCTGGTTTCCCCCCCCCCCCTGATCGAGAACAAGTTGGTACGCCACTGATGACATGTATTCGTATCGTTTAAGCTAGGGCTATAAGCTGAAACTGTTTAATCATACGTACTTTATTGTTCAATTGGCTTGTTTATCTTAAAAACTTGCATATATATCATACATAGCACCGATATTTGTAACATTTATTTGTGGAAAACAAGTTACGGAGAAGAAATAATAAAACGTAAACTTCCAGACTTGATGATTAAAAAATTTGATTATACAGTCTCAGAAAAACAAAATTTGAGGTTATTTCTTTTTGATGCGATTATGTTTATATGGAAATTAAAAGGTTTACATTTTTTAATGTAAACCTTGTAATTAATGTAAACCTTGTAACCTTGTAAACCAGATTTGAAGGGTTTTGCACCGATAACTCTTGCAGCACGGCTACACTTTGCAGAGCTCGTGTTGAATTATTTACGAGATGCAGAGCTTTTTCCAAACGCTTCACTCACATGTGCCGTTCGCGTAACACATTCTTTCTCTACAAAGCAGCAAGCTCTCTTTCGGTAAAGTAATTAGAATAACAAAATAGAAAAGTTATAATCCTTGTTTTATTGTGAGAGAGCTTTAAATAAAGAACTCCAACGGTTTGGGTGCGCTGAACAGATGTTCCCAGAGCGTTAAGGGCCCCTACTAATGAGAGCATTAAAGGGGTACTCCACCGATTTTTTTAGCTACCTTAACTAACTATATTTTCTGACTCCCCGGCCCCTACTCTCTCCGGTATGCTATTTAGAATCGCGAAATTAATAATAGGTATTGTGAAATCGGCAAATGAAAATGATCCAAAAACCAACATTCAAATATTCGCGCACTTTTCAGTGCCGTGACGTCAGTGGCAGGCAGACTTGCCAGTCGAGCAAGCAGCCAAAAAATAGAATATGTCAATCATTTGCTCCGTGCTGGAGCGCGGGTACTGCAGCGAGCTTCCCAAGCATTCATTTGACACCATGAAACTGCTTCGAATCAGTTTAAAACAAAATCTACAGCCCAAACAGTGAACCCCTGCCTTCCACTGACGTCACTTTTTCACTGTTGCCAGTAGAGACTTCGAGCTTGAAAAACACGGTGAGGACCAAAACTGTAAATTCAATAACTTTGCAAAAAAACAATATTTTGACCAAATATTTGGGATACTATTTTCACGATATTTGTTGGTTAGTTTAGCAAAATTTCAAGCAAATCGGAGACAATGAAAAAACCAGTGGACTATCCCTTTAACTGCCCCAAGGAGCGAAGCCGGTGTTGTCTGTAGCAGCGAAATACGACACCTAAATTCCGTCTGTAGCAGGAAAAACGGCACCTCAATTCCCATTGGCTGCGCGAAACGGCACATAAATTCCCACTGGCTGAAAAGCGGGCGCGTCTCAGAAATAAAACACAAAGAAAAGCACAGCAACACAAATGCATCGTCACGGAAGCCATGGAGCCGGCGGCGGGCGCCGCGCATGCGCAGTGGGGGAGCGTGATGTGACCACCAGAGCGCCGTGTGAAAAAGGAAGATGTGGCGCGCTGTTTGTAGGAATGCGTTGCGTGTAGAAACGCGAAAGCATTCCTACACGTACGCAGTCTTAAGTGACTTTTCTAAAACTCTATTATCCTTCGCTCCTCGCAGCTTGCTGAGTGACAAGGTGCAATGAGAAGGCGAATTCCCGCCGACTATACTCCGTTTCCTTTTCAACCAACCAGTGCAGAAAGGGCGTCATAACTGCGCTCATTGTTGCTGCAAGCTGCTCGAATCTTTAATTCAGAAAAGTATCACTAGTTTCCTGGACCAACATCTTACAGTGAAACTGCACCAAGTTCGGTTTCAAAAGTGCTACTCATCTACAGACCAAACTGATATTGATCTTTCGCGCCCTTGCTCTCGCCTTAATGGCAGCAAACCACGTGATCTCCTATCTTCAGTTGTTATTAAAACATCTGGTGCTACAGTGATGTCTCATTAATATGGACACCTCAGTTCCCCTGAAAAGTCATCCATAATGGGATTTGCCCATAATAACGAGACAGAAACGCATGCATTTTTCCAGTTTTCACCTGAGAATGGTGTTCATATACCGGGTTATCCAAATTAACGGGGTGCATATTAACGAGCCATGACTGTACCTCATGAAATAAGCTCTTACAAAATCTTGAAGCTATCATAATATTAGTAAAATTTACAGCAAGGCTAAAAATGTTTATTGAGACAGCAAATCGTTTGTGTGGGGTCTTTCTTTCAGACAATTGGAACATCACGTTCGGGTGTACCCCGAAAGTATAGTGTTACAGACTGTTTTTACTCTTATTTATGAACATTATATACTAGAATTTGAATATTAACATCAAATTGTTTGAAGATTGTGTACACTATGGAGTTACTATGACGATTTATCTCAAGCACGTTTTATTCTTTCTGCCTTCTCATGGATTTCTACCAACCCAAGTCACTTTCATTCGCTATGTTGTTTAACCTTATGAGGTTGTTGGTTCACTTCACTATGTTGTTTAAACTGTCAGGAATATTATCTAGGAAGCCTATGGCGAATTCTCCTGGTCGTTTAGGAGCGCGCCGGAAAAAGTACACCAGATTCGTGATGGAGCACGCGATCCGAACGGAGTCGCTCCTTTTTCGGATTCCCAGCGGAACATGACCACACCTCCGGGTTCGGCGAATGCCTTCAGGTCATTCACCGCCTCTGGAATCCCCTTCACACGGTCACGGGTCTCGAAGCACATGTTTTCGCAATCGCGGCGCAAAGTACACGTGTTCCACGCACGAGCAAAGTTAATCATTATATGAAAAATGCGTGTCAATAAGCGATTTGCATCAGCGTAGCCCACTTGTCTCTTCATCGGAACAATCGAGTTCGGCAGCGGTAGGCATGCATTAACATTCCTACACGTAAGCATTTTTTTTTTCAACATTTTTATTTATTTATTTATGTATTGTGCATTGTGCGGCCCTCCACGGCGGCGGATCTATTGGCGCTCACAGGCGGCGCAGGTTCAGGTGCTGCCGCGCCCTACCTCCTATATCATGCTGCCGCCAAGGTTGTAGGCTGATCTGTTTAAAAAGTGGCTGCGGTTGCTTCCTTTACGTCACGTAGACGGAGGCGCTGCGCGGCGGCTGTTGAAACAGGCACTGTGAAGCATGTTTCAGGGTGGCGCCTCTCGATCACTCCGGCCCATGGGAATTTTCGGGTCGGTCGTACGAAAATGTATTAGGAATTTTCCCATCAAAACTACCGTCCACCTATGTACTGTCAGTTTGTCTTCTCCTAACCACCCCGTAGCATTTTTACGCCTTTTAATATTAATGAAATTGTAAAGAAGCGTATGTGCACACTCCATTTATGGCAACCGCGTTATCGTCAATATGGCTATATCTCTCGCTTTTTAAATTTAAAGCCACATAAATACTGCATTACGTTTTTGCAGATTATGTTAGTACATAAT